TCAAATTTGATTCTCCATTTATGGGATGACCTTATAAAGCCAAAATGATATTGAATGACAGTATAGTGCAATGTTAAAAACAGCCTTCTCTGCTCATTCTTTGGTGTACTCAGCAAGAAAAAAAGCTGATTAATATTAGAATTAAAATGTGCTACCAGTTTTGCATTGGTTATTAATGTACCCGGTCCTACTCCCCACCCTAAGGCTTCTTTTGCCTGGAAAGAAAAATGTGTTTATCTTGATAAAATAGACATTCAGAACTAATGCTGGGTACCAGCTGTTGAATCCACACCCCTTTAGGATTCAACTTGATTTAAATCTTTAGGAATACAAGTCCTGGTTAACCTAATATTTGCTTCTTATCCACAACCTTTATTCAATTGCCTCAGTTGAAGTACCTGAAGAAATAGTTGGGCACCATGGGACACCAGTGTCTTCTTAGATTGCCTTTTATCCTTAGGAAGCATGGGAATTAACCTAAATGATTCAAACGGCAGGGGAAGGCATCTCCCCAAGCCATCTGTGAATTAGCATGCAGCCTTCTGGAACCCAACACCAGGCAACAGTGAGTCATCTTCAAAGACTTTCCTGTTGCTCTGCCTCACCTCTGCTTCAGCCGGCACAGTGTCCCTTCACTGCTTTGGGCAGGGCTGCCTAATCTTGGACTTAGACAAATGCCTTGACTATACCACTGTTATAAAGAATGCAGCCACAGTACGGGATAAAGAAAGGAGGCCTAAGTGTTCCTACATAGCTTGTGGTGGCTGAGGAATAGTTTCCCTTGAAGTCCATCCCTTTCAAATACCTATCTTACTTTGAGACAAGATTTCTAAAGGGAAAATTCACAGTCTGGCAGTGGGAGCAAAAGACAGAAACAAACTGTATTGACACTCTAAATTAGATGTGGTTGCAAGGCCACTCGAAATGACAGCTTCCCCCATTGCAGCTCCTATTGACAGATTACAAGCAAACACCGCTTGCTACCTGGTACTTCTACCTGCTAATTACTTGGAAAGACTCGGGTACTCAACAACTGACCTGAATGCTCTTGTAAGTTTTAGGATCAGTGATTGGAGGGGTGAGGGAGGACTTTTAAAAGCCACACAGTGAGGCTGACAGTCAGTAAGGAGCTGTTGAAATCACATCAAAAATATTCTTGCAGAATAATGAAACTTTTCAGGCAGTCAATCTCCCTAGGTGCTTGTCTTTGCCAACAGTCAAAGCAATAAGGAAAACTTTATTAGTTGTGTGGAAATTTTTCTTCTTTTTTTTCTTTCTTTCTTTTTTTTGTTATTTTTGGTGTTGTTGTTTTTGTTTTTCTTTAACGCTGACTATAAAAACATTCACTAAGGTGTCTGCTGACTGCTACGTGGAAAGTGCACCATGAACTTCAGGTAAGAGAAGACTTTAGACTCCTGCCCTAAGTTGATACCTGGATGATACATCCATCTTTTTGGATGGAAAAAAAACAGGACTGAAGAAAGGATGGAAGCCGGAAGATGCCATGAAACAGACTAGCAAACATTCAGACAAGCAAAACCCTTCACCCAGGCTTTCACTGTCCCAGTAGAAACCCCAGGGACTCTCCCAGGATAGTGTGGACACTGGAGCTGATGACAGTTCTTGCTTGAAACAAAGGACTCATGAGGCACTTCTGTCAAATGCCTCTCCTTAGGGGACATCCACCAATTGTCCATTTTGTGCCACCTGCCAGGAGCTGGAAATACTTGACACCCATGGAGCCATGCAGTCATAAAGCTGCAGCGACCTTCATTTACAAGGAGAGAAGGAGATCCACAGTCCTAGGACTAGCTAGCTCTGTATTCTTGCTTTTTTGTACTTGGACAAGAGTGATTTCCATTGAATACAACCTATACCCCGAACACAGGTGAGAATTTCCACCCTGCAATATGCAGTTGAGGAAAATGAGTCACAGCCTAGTTCAAGGTCACACAGCTGATAAGTGACAGCAGAACTTCAGTTTGGGGTATGTGGACGCATAGCCCTGACATTCAGTTCTAAACAAAAGTCACCTGAAAACCAGTGCTCTAGGCCTCCAAGTCCCCAGTGAAGGACGATACCCAGACAGACATGCTCACTGTTACTCGAAAGTTCACAGAGAGACACATAACATGTGTGTGCTTGAAGCTGTAAAGTCATTCATTAGCTGAAGCATAGATTGTGTGAAATTAAATCTCAGAACTCTTGAAAGCATGGTTTTACCCATTTCAAGAGCGTCTTTGAGCTATTTCGTATCTATGTATCAAGGTTGTTTCCCCCCCCGCCCCCCAAAGAAAGAAAAAAAGCTGGTCAATTATATTTAACACTGTTTTATTTATAATGGAAAAATGTCATGATAACCTGCTCTGAAGAATAGAAAGATGAATAACTATGGTGCAGCTGTAATCATTAGAAGGAGCTGCTGTTAGTCCAGTGGTATAGTGATTTAGCTTTCTCTTCTGCAGCACTTACTATGGAACAGGCACTCTGTTAATCCTCTTGTACACAATTCCTCATTTAATCTTCATAATAACCCATGTGATATCATCCTGTCCTCATGACACATGAGAAAGACTAAACACAAAGGAAGTGGCATGCCCCACTTTGCACAGAGAGGATTCAAGCCCAGATAATTCAGCTCCAGTGCTTGCAATCTCACTTGTTCCTATATCATCCAGTGTCTCTACCATTAAGTGGAACCTGTAGGGAGCCACATTGATTTACTCTTCATTTGACCTGTAGAGCAACAAAAATAATATCTGCAGCAGAGGAGAAAGAAGAGAAGTGAAGATTAATATGCCAAAAAGACAGCCATGTTGATTGTGTTACCTACCTGTCACCGTGTAACTAAATTGCACCCCAAAGTTTAACTTGAAATAGCAATCATTTACTGTGTCAGTTTCTGCAGTCAGGAATGTGGGAGTAGCTTATTTACTGGATGACAGCTTCTTGGGAGGCCATGCTGGGGCTGCTGAGTTGGACTTCAGTCATGTGTGATCTGGGTTGGAGCACAGGACCTGCTTTTGTTAGAGGCTCCCAAACACAGCTGGTCACAAAAAGCCTCCATTCCTTGTGTTCTGGTGGGAAGCAGATACCTTGATCATGGGCCACATGCTGCAAAATGGCAGCTGGATTGCTTGAGAGCAGCCATGCAAGAGCAAGGAGAAGGCCACAAATCTTTCTGTGGCCAAGGGTAATGTATTTTTATTTCCAGAACATTCGACTGTTAAAAATGATTCTCCAAGTGTGGCTCTTGCTCAATGGAAGGAGAATTAGTTTCTACATTTTCAGAGAAGGATTATATATAAGAATTTACAGCTGGACAATGGTTGATCCCAAAACTCAGGAGGCTGAAGCAGGCAATCTTTACAAAAGTTGTCCTGGTCATAATGTCTCTTCATAGCAATAAAACATTAACTTAAACACTAATATACATCTCTGGAATTGATAAAAATCAGAAAAACTTTTTACTAAAGAGACTGCTAATGGTCACATTGAATTCTCAGATACTCATCTGACCTTTATTCTGTACTGTGAAAATGGTAGATTACCCTGTAAGAGGAAGAATATTTTGGGAAGTTCAAGGACATTCCGATACCTAACTAGGATTCCTCCCAGGAAGACCCTTCTCTGCTTCAGTCTAGCTGCCCTTAAAATTGACCAAAGTTGCACAGAACCTTCACACCTTTCAACTTCTCAGTTCTTAGAAGACACAGAGCTATGGAATGTGTTGGTGTCTATTCTCTCAACCTCCTATTAAGGCTATTACCTACCCCTAGGCCTCCTGGGCCTTCACAGAAGGTCCAGTGGGGAACAGTTAATAGACAACACTGTCACATAAGTCCTGTTCCTCTAAAGTGCCAGCATGCTGAATCTCAGACTTGTGCTGTGGTTTCTTTCTTTGCCCTGGATGCAATTAAAAAAAAAAAAAACTCCATTGTAAACTATCTTTTGTGGTTAAAGTAGGGCTTTTCTTTTATACAATCCAAATTTTGCAATATCATGATCTTCATTTCCACAAGTCCTGTATTTAAAGTCATGGAACTTCCATTTTTAGAGCAAAGCAAATGGAAACAGAAACTATTGTTTTAATATTTATCATGTGGTAAACATTGGCAAGAACTTTTTCTGTATAGTTAGTGTCCTGGGAATGAATTTTTATTTTCTATTTAAGTGAAAGAGGTGTGATTTGGGAGTGACTGACAATTTTCAGTTCTTTTTAGATCGAGACTTTGAGATTCTTTTGAGTACAAGAGGATTGATGCTCTTAACAGGAAATGTGGCTATTACTAACGTAAACCCAGTTCCAATCCATGGTTTTAGTTTAGGAAAACCACCACCACCACCACCACAACTGTGGAATCATGCAGGTCTTCATGTTGTAGGTCAAAATTGTAAGTGTTTTGTTTTTTACTGTAGCTAAACCGGGCTGGCTTTTGCTGTTATCTTTTGCAGATGTGGAGCCATGTTTTTTTTCTGAAGTGCATTTAACCTGGGTTTTGGAGCCCACAGGTGGCATTGCTTAGATTGGAAGAAAAGTGATTTCTGAGCAATGTACTCTAAATCTTGTGATTGTCTTGTCAGGACAACAGAGTTCAGACTGTACTCCAGGACAGATGAGGGACTCTCCCCGGAGGAAATGGAAGTTTCCACTGTTTGTCCTGATAGATAGGCAGACAGACCAGAGAGAAGTCCACCACATGCTGAGGACAGAGACAGGTAGGATCTGAATTAAGAATCCAGTGTGGTGATAATTTATCTGTGTCCCCCGATAAAATTTATCTGAGGATCAGAGAATAAAGGCCAGTCACAATTAGTAAAAACAGAAGTCATGCAATGTTAGCAAACACCCTTAATCCATCTGCATCTCTGTGAGTTCAAGGTCACACTAGGGAATAGAGCCAAGCATGGTGACACACGCCTTTATCCCAGCATCCACCATAGAGTTCTGGAGGTCTGTGCAGACAGACAGGAAGTGACGTAGCTTGGTGGAGAGAGGAAATGAGTTAGCAGAATAGAAAGATATATGTCTGTTTAGACTGGAAATCGCTCACTTTGGAAGCTGTGGCGTGGCGAGGTAAGGTTAGCTGGTGGCTGTTCCAATTCTTCTGATCTCTGTCAGATTTTCACCCTATTTCTGGCTCCGTGTTTTTTATTTAATAAGACTGCTTAGAAATTTGTCTACAATCCAGGATGTAGAGATGGAGAAATTCACAGCAAGAGTGGAGTCTGCACTGCTTGTGAGCCTGTGGGGAGGGAAGCAAAGACCTTTAAATGAAAGTAAGAGGCTAGAAGCATCCAAAGTAACCACTGTCTGCAGAAGTGAGTACCACACTTCATTGTATCTCTGAGACACTCTTGTAGTTGTTACCCTAACTGCCTGGAATTGCTTCGATCAAGGCACTCTCCTACCCCAACCTCCCAAGCAGCAGGGGATGCAGGGCTGTGCCACTGTGACAAGCTGTATTATAATATAGAGTATGTTTTATTTCTACACTAAAAACTCCCAGTGAAGTATTAGGATTTGTATATGTTTGCTTATCATATATGTGTGCTGTATAGTCTATTTGTTATGCACGCTTCATCTACCATAGTAATAACTCAGCATGTTTCTCTCTATTTCCTCAAAATTTTTAAAAAATTAAGAGAAAGAAGCATTGTATGTGCCCATGCACTGTAGTTTACATAAGGCCATGAGGATAAATCTGTATGTACTGGCAGCTCACCTGTACTGTTGACCTGTTGAGCTTGGAAGTCAGATGTTGTTCACAGCTGTATGCCTTCACTGCGTGCCTTCTCCAATTCTTACTCCTCTGTAGATTTCACTTCTTCCATTCACTTCTGGCAAGCAGTTTTGATGACAGGCATCAAACAGTGGTAAGCAAGTGAAATGTCCATGTTGATAGCAAAAATAAGAATAATGGTAACAGCTTCAATACAATGGAGCAAGCAGGTATAAAGGTAAGAAGGTGGGCCTTTGACATTAGGGAAGACCCCATAGATGTTATTGCAGAGTGAGGATAGGATGCTGTTCTTATGAAGGGCACCTACAAGAGACTAAGGCCAAGGCTGTGCCAAATCCTGTGTGCTCTGGCTTATCGTAGTAATTTGCAGGAATATACCCATCATACACACAACGGTACATATGTATATGATCTCATTCAGTGTTTATGACAGCCCTATCTTGTTGCATACTGGAGAAGACCTCTGATACATTAGGAGAAAAGGTCTCTGAGGCCTTACAGCTAGGAAATGACGGTAAAGCCAGGGATTGGGCCAGACAGTGTGACTCAGTGCTGAAGCACTGTGTTGTAATGCCTCCAGGCCCTACAGTCTTGTCTTCTCACCCTCCTGCCTTCAGAGAAATTTTATTATGTCAGAGTCTTGGCTTTTTTGAGTCAAAGGAAGGAGTAGCTAAGGAAAGGAAATTTACGGAGTCCATGCTTGGAACAAAGTAGAATTGAGAATGAGCCTTTTGAGAAATTGTTAATTTCTCAGCCTCACATCCATTTACCCTGCTCCTTGGTACTGCTGCCACCTTTAACCACAAGCCTGGCTAAAAAGGTCACATGTCTCAGTTACCTCCACATGCAAGTGTGGTCATACAATCAACTGTTGGTGAGCAAGACTCATTCAAAACGATCCTTATGTGCATAGGGAGTGTTTGTTGTAAGATGAATTGCTAAACTGTCTTATTAATTTAAAAAAAAAAAACGGAGCCATACATTGGGGTGAAAGCTAAAAAATCAGAGGAATAAAACAAGCCAGGTACAAGTTCTTACTCCTGAGAAATCCTCAGCCCAAGAGAGCTACTTCCTGTATACTCACGCCTGTGTACTGCTCTGTGCCCTGCCATCTTACTTCTTCTCTCCACCCAGCTACATCACTTCCTCTTTCTGCCCAGCTTTATCACTTCCTGTCTGTCTGTAAAGACCTCCAGACCTCTATGGTTAACTAGCACTCGGATTAAAGGCCTGTGCCACTTCCCAGTGTGGCCTTGAACTCACAGAGATCTGGATGAATCTCTGCCTCCCGAGATCAGATCACCAAGCAAGCTTTATTTGTTAGAGAACAAATAAAATATCACCACAGTTTGTCACTGTCACATTCTGCTTCCCACTACTTAGCACTTCAGTCAAGACTGCATGAACTCTATAGCTCTCATCAGTAGGGGTTTACTGAAGAAAGAAAAAATAATAATGCAGCTTGGTATAATCGCAACTGCTTGGGAGGCTAAGGCATGAGTTCTAGGCCTGCCTGGACAGTTGTGAATATCTATCTGTGCCTGTTAGTTTTTGTCACTTTAACAAACTAGAATCAACTGTAAGAGGAATCTCTGTTGAGGAATTATTTGTATCAGATTGGCATGGGGGCTTGTCTGGGGGGCACTTTCTTCATTGATGATTGATGTAGGAGGACCCAGCCCCCTGTGAGTGGCGCTATCCCTAGTCAGGTAAGCCTCTGCTATATAGGAAAGGTAGCTAAGCAAGCCAGGGTGGTCAACCTAGTAAGCAATGCTCCTCTGCAGTCTCCCCTTCAGTTCCTGCCTTGAGCTCTGGTCTTGACTTCTCTTGGTGATAGAGTATAATGTGTAAACTGAAACAAGCCCTTCCTTCCCCAAATAGCTCTTGGTCATGGTGTTAATCACAGGGAAGCAGACTAGAACACATACACCTCAGATTATGGGACAGAAAGACAGTCACCTAGGACTCTGATAACACTACAAAGTAGTCAGCTCAAACCTAGAAACACATTTTCTTAGAAATGAGCTAGAAAGAAACAAATTTGTTCACATTACAGTTGCTAGAGTGAGTTTTGTGCTACATGCACTCAGGGAATACCTAGATTATTGATCAGGGTTGTACTGTTTTTATTGTACAAAGCGCTGGGTGAGGTAGAAGGCCAAGGATGAAATCTAGCTTACACTGTTACCCTCAACAAGCCATGGGTCTTGATAAAGGGCTGAGTCTACCTGGGAAACAAAGGTGCTGTTTTCTAGTTCACTCAGAGACCTGCTCATCAAGTAGCAGCTCTATTTAGAGGAGATGTGCAGGCTAGCTGAGACTTCATTCTAACTCTAACCAGCAAGTTGCTGTCTGATATCATGGCGTTACATCAGTTTTCGGGAGCAGGAATCATTCAGAGGAATGATTACCAGGGTTAACACGAGGAACATATAAGTATTTTCTCTGATCATTCCAGAAATAACTGGAGAAGTATCTAACAGAAAACTGGACTTCTTACAATAGGGAAGACAAGCATTTAAAATAACCTAAGTAGAACATAAAAGATGACTTTAGTTTTAATCATGGATTAGTGTACACTCATCTCATTTAATTCAACTACATCAGAATTAGATGTTCAGTGTCCTAGTTTCACAGAAGAGGAAGCAGTCTTGGAGTTGATAAATAAATGTTCATGTCACAGTTAATGAAGACTATATTCTAACCCAGGTTTGTCTGAATCCTTAAGCCCTATATTTAATCACTCCTCTTCATATCTACCTGGTGCCACCCAAATTTCCACACATCTGAATTAATTAAGTCCTAAATCAAGGAAGATTCCAGAAACCTGGGACAGCTTTGGAACAGATGCAGCTGACGTGTCAGGATGCCTTTGTGCAGGGTAGGGATGGTTCCTTCGCTCTTCAATACTTTCTGGTTCTGAAAGGAGTTGTAAAGATGTATAAAGCAGCCAAGATTCCCACTCAGCATGACACAACCCTCCCAGCTTCAAGAAGTCAGCCCCAGAACTCTCCATGGGAAAGGGCAAGTCCTCACTAATGAAATTTCTCCTCTGGAGGTACAGCCTCCCTCTTGTGCTCGATTTAAGTTCATCTTGGGCTCACCCTCCCCTAGGTTATTTTAAGGCAGTATTAATGTTTTATGACTCATTTCCTAGTTTTCTGCTAAAAAAAAAAAAAAAAAGGAATCACAGCCCAGGCATTCCACTTCCAACTCTGCAAACAGCTGATGTGTGATTTGGAAACATATATTTTATTGTGAAAGGGAAGGATATTCAAGAAATAAGAAATTATTTCTGCTGGACCAGTATCAGTTTCTTGATGGCTTGCTCCCTTACACTCCTGCCCTCCCTCTCTTTCACCACACACATGTAAACACATGGCAGTTGCAGAGCTCAACAGTGACATTTCCTGTAGAACTATAAAATTTACTCTAGAGAGACAAAAGGTCGTTCCTGAGGAATTTCTACCTCCAATAGCTGACAGATTATTTCAGAGATATGGCTGTGGATTCACTTACTTTTTTTGGAAGTCTCTATAGACTTTTCCCGGTTTCAAATGTGCACACACACGTGCACACTCCCATTTGAATTAATATAAATATGTATTATATTAAGATAAGTATATATTAATACATATAATACACATATTCCTCCAAATAAAATCCAAATGCTCAATAGAAGCAATACTAATAAATTAATTGTGCTTGTTCTTAGAAAAGGTCAGCATGCACCTGATAAAGAGCATAACTAAAGGAAAGAAAAATCAAGCTGTAAAATGGCTACGGTACAAGAAAGGGATATAAGCTTTTAACATTTCCCAGTGGGGGGCTTCCAGGGGAACTCAGCTCACACCTGACCTATCCATTCCTAAGCAAGACCTGAGAATACTCCTCTCATGCTCTTCAAGAGACAGCTGCATTGTTTTATTAGGCAACTGATGCAAACTGTTCTAAAATCTAAACCAAAGTAAGGAAGGCACAGTGGTAATTGTATCACAAAGAAAATCTCATAGACTCACTCCGAACCACAGATGATGAAATCAGGCAGCTATATATAGTAAAAGTTATGAGAGCAATGACACCTTATATTCAAGAAATAGAGTAGAAATATGACATCATTCAAGTTTATATATTAGAAAATTATGTGAATATCTACAGACATATCATCTCTAATGTATTTTAATTACTTCTTTTATTTTTGAGATTATAATTACTATATTCCCCTTTCCCTTTTATTCCTCCAAGCCCTTTGATAAATCCCTTCTTTCTCTCTTTCAAATTCATGGCCTCTTTTTTTCATTAATTTTATGTGTGTGTGTGTGTGTGTGTGTGTGTGTGTGTGTGTGTGTGTGTGTGTGTTCCTAAATACATAAGTAAAACCTGCTCCTTAGTTGCCTGTAGTTCTTAGTGTAAGGTCAAGGCCTCATAGGCTTTCCCCCATCCACTTTGGCATGTTTGTTATTGTTGTCTTTCTTCAGCTCGTGTTTAGACATTCATGTTGGTGAGACCTTTTGGTGCAGCTTCTGACCTTCATAGGAGACACAGTCTTAGGGCCAGTGAAGTCATGATCTCAGAGGA